GAGGAACATTTATCCAGACACATTTAATGGAGAAGGGAGGCTGGATTAATAAAGCTGTGTGCACCTCAAGATGATGTTATGGGCCCATGTTTTGTTTTCCAACATATCTGTACAGGTGAATATTTCAGGTTGTGTTATACATAATATTCAATATTAGCTTCTCTGTTTGTATATAGCTTAACAGGTAACCTCAAGGCGTCACCTGCCATATAAGGAACAGAGCAGTCTTGGACTAATTTCTTAGACTAAAGTCTATCAACAATCTGGCCCCTGAATCTCTCTACAGATATGTTCAAAGACAGGATGGAAACAGGGAAACAAGAAGCACAGTGAATGGAAACTGTAGCGTACAACAACCTAGATCTACATTCAGTACCGATTCTAGAGTCTGGGGCCCTGAAAGGCAGAGATTATGGGGGGGCCCTCCAACTAGTGTTCATCACCATTATGTCTGCAAGTGTCCTAGCGCTTACTCCTCTTCCTCTAATGTTTCTTTTTTTCTCTCCTATAATAGACAGATCATTCCTCTTCATTTTTCTTTGTTTACTTTCATTGACAAACTTTGTTTTTCACTGCAATAATGCAACGCTTAGCAGGGCAACGAGAGTTAGTGCTGTCAGATGGGGCCCCTTAGGGAGGTCTTCTACTGTCTTTGGCAAATTTGCACATTTTGGGCCACTGCTTTAGTTTAACTTTGTCAGCCCTGAGGGGCCCCCTATACTGGTCTGGGGCCCCAAGCTCTGTCTTCATTTGGACAATCAGCTTTCTCGATCAAAGGCTGTGAACTCTGGAACACATTACCACCTGAAATAAAATTAATCTCAGACTTAAAATCTGTTCCAAAAAAAGTGAAAAGCTGGCTGAAAGCAAACCAGATCTGTACCCACTTTTAAATTGTATCTCAAATCTGTAACTGGTTTATAGCATTTTGTATTGTCATATTTTTCTACATGTATTTTAATGTATCCTCATAGAGTGTTGTGGGGTTTTATGTGATCGAATGTTGTACATTTTTACTCTGTTTGTTTACCCAAAGGCCCAACTAGGAACAAGAGTTAAAAAAATAGCTAATCTTTATGCAGCACATCAGTCTCATGCTTTGTATTGAAACTATGTTAAGTTGCATTGTCCCTATCAAACATTCAAATGCAATTCAAACAAGGACAAATTGGATGCCAGCATAATAAAACTAATCAGAAATCATCATCTGGGTACTTTCTTATATCAAGCCTTCATTTATCTTTTGTACATCCTGCAAGCACCATGATCCCCTAATCCCTAACTAGACTACAACAACAGCAAACATGTTTTAATTAGTCTGACTTGTAATGGCATAATCAGGCTGGGATCTCCTTGTTTATTTGTTGATTTTGTCTCACAGCTAAAAGCTACAATGTGGACACTGTGGAGACTTTCTTCTATGAACCAGTTAGCTCTTTGTGAGCGTCTTTTTAATATACAAACTCATACTCTGCCTTTCATGAGCTCTTATTTGAGTCCAATGTAAACTCTGTCTAATCCATTCACTGCTGTTGGTCCTGTCTGGTTCCTGTTGTGTCTTCTTAGCTCTCTGTGGTTGACCCAGGCGTTACTGCACTCTTCCTGCATGCTGCACACACTTCCTGTTTATCCTTTTGGATAGCTATGAAAGTGGGATTCAGAGTTGTTCATCTGGGTTTTGGTGCTACATATCATGGAAATTGTGTCATGTCTGTGGCTGAAAAAGAGCAGATTGAAGAAATGTTTGTTTGCTGTGTTTTCACGGACATTTGCAATACAATATGTTAGGAACACTTGATATGATGAACGTTTCAGGCTGATTTTAGGTGTCAGGTATCAAACTGAGAAAACAAACATGTTACAACAGCTTGATGAATCGCCCGACAACTCCTGACCTCCGTGTGTTTTGGAAATGTTTGCCGGGTCTGACAAACAATGGCTGGCACACTGCCAGGCAGGAGGCTGCCAAACTGGCAACCCCTCCAAACCCTCCCCGACTCCCCACTCCCCCCCACTCCTCCATCAGTGTCCGACGCAGCGTGGCCAGTACACACATCCTGCCTTTGTGGGCCAGGAATGTCAAGAATCCAGACTGCTGCCCTCCTCCCCGCCGCTGCCCAACAAGGTGCTCGCACCCTCACTCCCCCTCAGCCCCCGCCTCACCCCAGCGACCGCCCCACTGTAGCGTCCGGGTGGTTTTACAGCCCGCCGGATGGATGTCTGGGTGGTTGTGTGTTGGTTTGATGTTGTATTTACTCTCTGGAGCTACAACACCTGCTCTCAGGAAGTGAGCTGTGTGTAAAGGGTTTGATGAGGTTTTTCACATCTTTAAATGCAACTTCTTTAATGCCAGAAATTGTTGAAAGACTTTGAAACCCCATGGCATCAATGTTTGAAATCCACAAAAGTATTCCTGCATGTCCCTGAAACGATGGTAATAATAGTTTTCTATTGACTTTGATCAATTGCTCCCAAGCTATCTGGTTTGCGGCTCCTTAAAAACGCTATGGTCTGTACTTTTATGATGATGGTTCTTTCAGGGTTGCTAAGGTCCCTTTAGGCCACTCATTGATTTTTGGATTTATTTTGTGTGTTTCAGTTTTTCACTCTAATAAATCATGAAGAAATTGAAACTCCAGGATACCAAAAGCATGATGGTTCAGGAAATCAAATTATACATATGGGATGCTAAAGTGTTAGCTGTACCTTGTGCACTGGTTGCAACTGGAGGAACCCTAAAACTCAGGAAAGCAGAGTGATGGTTTAGCTCAGTAGGGAGAGCAGTGCCCCATCTGCAGAAGCTACAGTCTGCGAGTCGTCACCAAGGTTTTAATAGTTTTCAATTTCAATTTCAGTTCAGTTTGAATTGGTTTTCAATGCTTAATGTCTGCTAGTTTTGTTTTTATTTTGAGAGAATCCTTTTACTTTTTTAGTAGTTTTTGGTAATTGGCCCCTTGTGATACTTGTCAGGGTCGAGACCTATGAGGGCCACATCATATTATTTTCAACCCCCTGCATAAACTCATCCAAAACAGAAATCAGTGTGCCTGAGACAAACCATAAAGAATGTGACTCTCAGTTTGCTTGTTTTAAAGACTAAAACAAAGAATTGTACTTTACTTTTGTTAGTTTTTGTTAACACAAAGTACAGATTTTGATTTTGATTTTCAGTTAACTTAAATGTTTTTACATTTTAGATTTCCTTATTTCCTTATCTTTCATTAACGATGATAACCTTGCTCGTCGCCCCAGTGGACGCAGTCTCAGTGACGTCACCAAATGGGTTCTGAAGCTGAGTTTTGAAAGACGATTACAGACTACCGCCGCCTGCTGGTGGGGAGAGTTATTGCCTCTCACTCCAGACGCAGAACGTTGTTGTCCGCAGGCGGCCTTCGTCACCACTAGTTCTTTAACGTCTGCTTGGTGTATCAGGGCCTCAACTCTCTGTAATCGTGTTTATTTCTGCTGTAACATTTTTGTAGTTTTTATAATAATTGGGTGTATATGTGACTTCCTTGCTTTTGCAGTTTTTTTTCCACTTCTGCATTGGCTTCATTTTTCAAAACTAGAGGTTGCCGATTGGACCTGATGCTATTTACTGCAAATCCTCCCTGACTGTCTCTCCCTACATGTCCTGTCTCTCTACAGCTGCCCTACCAATGAAATACGAAAAGCCAAAAAAGTAATCTTAAAAAAAAACAAAAGAATTCAAGAAAACTCACTGGGCTCACAATTAGTAAAACCCCTGAGTCCTCAACATTTTAAAATCTTGTTTAAGTAAATCACAAACTTTAAGATAGCATTATAAGAGACTTCCTGTCATTGTTGGGCACAAACAAAGCATAGGTAAAGATTTATGCAAGGTGTGATTTAAAAGATCAATTAAACATCTATCTATCACCCTGATGCTCAAAGGAGCTTAAGTGGCTTTTTTAAGACAGAAGCTGAACTTTGTGCTGCTTAAGGGGACAGTATATGATTAATACACATTTTTTGACGGTGAAGAGCTGTCGATCATGCTAAGCTGATTTCGCATTGTAGCTGTTTTTTTCAATTATGCAGAAAAATGGTGCAACTGGAAAAATCTATTTGCTGGAGAAGAAAATATGATATAATGAAAAGCTGTGATGTTGTATTTGGAGGAGGTCAGTCTGTTTAATCACTTGGTACACTAGATTTTAATCACAGTTAGACCGATAATAAACTGCTATACAGAAAGCTACATTTATATATTTGTTGTATCCAGTCTCAGTGGTCATACTGTACACATCGTGTTGTTTTCAGGGACCCAAGAGAGACCCTCTAAATAATGATATCAAATGCACTAAAATACATTTCCCATGTTTTGTAACAGCCGTGCCAAAGCTTAATGCGAGGACCTTCCTGCTCTCCAACAAAACACTTTCTACGTGCCCTTGGATGACAATGGGAATGCAGAGTTTTTCCTACCGATCATGGGAACCTGAAGACAGGCCCGTGTTTCCTGGAATGAGGCCCGTTAGGAAAGAGATGGAGGGAACACAGGATGTCCTGAGAAACTGTGTCCCAAAGAGCAGAGCAGGCCAGAGCTGGTGGAGGAGCTGTTCACAGGGATTTTCTCCACATCACCACTTCCCCTGATGGAGTGGGATTCCCTACTTTGGGTTTCCATTACACCTGTCCCTAATTGTTATTTTTCCTGACTTTTCTATAACCCCTTAAATATAATTCATGAATCACAACATGGTTGCCTGGTTTATCTAGTCATTTTTTATCCAATTTTTTCTCTTGCATACATTTGGACATTTTCCTGAAGGTCACATGTTCACTCTTTGAGTCATGTCTCTGTCACTATTTGACACCAACAAACAGCCCTCTCCTCCTCCTCCTCCTCCTCCCTCCTCTGGACACCCTCCAGCCGTCTTGAGAGGAGTTTTGATGATGTCACAGCGAGGGCGGGGGCATGTGTGTCTATAAGTACAGGCCCCTGCACAGGGAAACCTCTCAATGAAGTAGAGCTGAGCTTGAACTGACCTGTGCTGACACCAGAGCAGACGGGTGTACCTCTGCACGGTGCACAGACGCTGAACTGTGGATACCTTTTTATCCTGCAGCTGAAAATCAAGACTTCTCTCCTCTTTGGACCGTGGAATCCTATTTTTTATTTCTTTATTCTTTTAAAAGGTTTTTTCTATTTTTGTTAGTCTGCTGTTTTCAGGATGCTTGGCCCTGTTACTTTGCAGCAGATCATTTCCTACCTGTTCGTGCTCTGCAGCGCTGCAGTGATGGTGAGTTCTTTTTCTTCTCTGTATTAATTTTTGTCTGTGTAATTTCATACAGATAGGTATCATTACTTGATGAATTGACACACACCCTGACTTTTGACCCTGCTCCTCAGGCAGAGGGAGAGTGCCCTGCTGAGTGCTCCTGCGCAGCCTCACCCCCGATGTGCCCGCCGGGCGTCAGCTGGGTGACCGACCACTGCGGCTGCTGTAAAGTTTGTGCGAGGCAGTTCAATGAGGACTGCAGCGCCGCTGAACCCTGCGATCACATCAAGGGGCTACGCTGCCACCTGGGGGCCGGAGGGGACCCTGAGAGAGGACTGTGTCGAGGTGAGGCTGAGAGAGGGGCATTATCTAACTGAGCAAAATAAACATTATTAGGCTGACATTTACATTTAGGTGTATCTGGAGATGTTATAGTAAAGGGATTAGATATATAGTTATTTGTTTGGTTGTTGAGCATCTTGTGGATTTTATGACTGCATGTTGCAAAAATGTAAAATAAATGGAAATGATCAAACACCACGACAAAGATCGTTTGATTACCATTTTATTTTGAGAACAAAGTCCAGACATTAACGAAGACGTGTCGAAATCAAGATTCAATATTGAGAATAATGTAAAAAATAAGTATTGCTGCAGGAATAATAAATTACCAATCAGAGAAGGTCAATTTATTTCTGCATTAGAAAAAAAAACTAAATGTCAAGTAAAGTCTCCAATGTTTTAGTCAAACATTACAAAAAGTCATTTCTAAAGTGGTCATTCTCTTAAACAGATGATTTTTAATATTTTGATTTCATTCTCAAAAAGTGAACCTTTTCTCATATATACATATATCATGTTTATTTGTTTCAACCCCTTTCATATTGATTTGCGTTTGACAGTCATGACTCTTGCACAATATTGAAATTTATACTGATCATTTTAAACCTTTGCATTCGGACTCTATTCTTGAAATGATTTATTTATTACCACTCAAACTGAACTCATGCCCCTACTTGTCTTACTTTCTCTCAAAGATGTATTTCTTATCGCCAAACTTCTTTCAGACAGAGGCAAAATGAAATCGTCCTTGTGTGAGCAGCTTGATGAGGAGTGTCAGTGATTTTCATCATTTTTTAAAAGGTGTTGATACTGCTGGACCAAATACTGTCCCTCATTTACCATAATGAAACAGCTGGCAGCCTTTCAAAAGGCTGAGTCAAGTTGATGTTTGTAAAAATATTCTGGCCCAAATGAGAACAAATCTGGCCCCAACCCAGTATGAGTTTGACCCCCTTGTCTCAAAGGAAGGTAAAACAATGGCACCCGGTATATATTACACAAGTCATAACCTAAACGAAAGAAATATTAGATTTTAAAAAAATCATTGTGGGCAAACAGTGAATGCATTAAAGCTGTAAGCCTTCATCAGCAACAACAGAAGTCGGACATTACGCAGGCAAGTGAAATCCAGCCACCAACCAGGAGAGAGTAAACAATGACATAAGGGGATCCACACGGGAAAGAACCACCCAGTTAGTTTCTTTGCTTCAATCCCTGATAACATGCATTTAACTTACCACTTCAGATGTGAAGCTGCGTTCACTGTCAACATTATTAAACAAACTCATTAAAGTACACGCTAAACATTTTTCTATAAAGATCTTTCTACTCTGTGTAAGTTATGTAAGTAACTAACTAATGTAAGTTAGTTAAAAAAAAAATGTTTCACTTGGCAATAACTTCCGTCTCCCTTGTTTGTAAAAATGATGCCGCTAAACATTTTTTCCCAGTGTTTTACATGAGATTAAAACAAGTTATGCAGGGGGAAAAGAAAAAGATGTAGGGGACTGAACATTTTAAATCAAATTCTTAAAATGTATCACCAGGACTATTTTTCTCGCACGAGGGCGTCCACACAGAACTACTGAGCTTTTAGAAACACTTATATGAGGTCTTTCTGCACTCTCTGAGAACTCATTAAGTCTGGTTTATCATCCAAGGAGATGTCTAATGAAAAAATTTGAAAATCTGGGAGTTGTAAAGGTTTTCAAAGATGTTGGTGTTTTCCAGTCAGTTAAGGTGAAATAAACGGTGCTCCATGTTGCATCACAGGAAGTGTAGGAGCTTTTAGGGATAGGACTGACAAACAAAGCGTTCTTTTTTGAACATATTTTGACGAGAGAATGAATTATTCAAAGAGCATATTATCACAAAATATTCTGCACAATTCATATTTATTGCACAGCCTGGTTCTCTGGTCTCTCTGTGTACAAACTCAGGTCTCCCTCTGTTCCTCTTGTATGAGGTTAAAGGTCACTCCTCACAGCTCTGTTTCCTGTTTTCTGTCTGCGTGTCTACAGCTGAGGCCCAGGGATTGCCTTGCGAGTTCAACGGACGGGTGTACCAGCACGGCGAGGACTTCCAGCCTGACTGCCAGCACCAGTGCACCTGCATGGACCGGGTGGTGGGCTGCATGCCCCTCTGCCCACAGCGAATCCCTCTTCCAGACTGGCGCTGCTCACGGCCTCGGCTGGCGAGGCCCGAGGGCGGCTGCTGTGAGGAATGGGTGTGTGATGACAACAACCACATCAGTGAGGAGCCAGACGAGCTGACACACACCTCCATGCCAGACGGACGGCCCCTCCCCAACCACATCAGTGTCCTGCTGGAGCCCCAGCCGCATCCCCGACACCCAGCTGCCACCGGAGGGGCCACGCTCAGAGGTAAACATCACAGCAATGCTTTTTAAGATCACCACAAACAACACCAAAGACGGTCTGAAGGAGGTTTTTCATGGTCGTGTGCAGGAGATGAGCCAAAACCTGAAGCTGTAAATAAAAGTGGACGTAGCCTCTGTAGTCTGAAATTTGCAACCAACAAGGAAGTGCTGAAAAACTGCATTCCATTTAATGGCCAGCAGGGGGCAACTCCACTGGTTACATGAGGAAGTGTAATTGTGTAAATGACCACTTTGCCTTCATTGCCTCAGTAAAACCTTTCCAGATGACTTTTTGGTCTAAATTAACATGATGTTTATTTTATAACATATAATCCATTGTGAGTAAGCATAGTGAATTTAGAGTCAAATAGATGATAAATCAAGATATGCTTTGGTCGTGGCTACCGATGTTTGAGAGGTCACCAGCATAGTGTGAGGTTGGACCAAATAATGGACAGCACAAGAGAAGTGAAGCCAAAAGATTTAGAGCTCCCCCTGCTGACAGTGTAGGCCATAAACCCCGCCTCCTCCATGTTAACAGATGGAACTTGGAGTAAACTTTCAAATTAAAATACTCGTCACATAACATTCCGATTAAAGTCATGGTAACCCTGAATTATCGATCAATCAATTTTAATTTGTATAGCGTGTGTTATCTCGAGACACTTTACAAAAAGAAGGTAAAAGACCTTACTCTTTGTCTTTTAACATTACAAAAGAGCAGGTACAAAGACCATACTCATTGTTGTGTTACAAAAAGCAAATAAAATATCTTACTTTATGCTATATTACAAAGACCCGGCCTATCCACCAGGAGCACTTTAGCAAAGCAGCAAATTATAACAGCACCTTGTTAACAGAGCTTGTGCTAGTGTTAGCTCAAAAAGTAGCCTCTGCTAAATCTCCAGCTTTAACCTTTTTTTGGGTCCCGACCCATCAGTTGAGAACCACTGATCTGAAGAATTGCAGGGATTCATTTGTAACCATCTTTTTCATCCTTCTCACAGAGATGGTGTCGTTCCCCATGTCTGAGGGGTTTCTAGAATCCCGCTGTTTCCCACAGACCACAGAGTGGACCCAGTGCTCCACCACGTGTGGGATGGGGATCTCCAGTCGAGTGACCAACAACAACCCGGACTGTCAGCTGGTCCGAGAGACCAGACTGTGCCAGATCCGGCACTGTGAGCCGCAGCTTCCTCTCGCTAGCAAGGTATGTTGAAGAAACACAAATGCATAGAGAGTAGGGGTAGTTTGGATGTTTCTTTGTATGCTGCAAAAAGCAAGATTATCACTTACACTACATTTTGGTCAACAAGCCCCCGTTTGAAAAATTTGGTGGGAGGACTGAAAGCTAAGTTCTGCACAACTGTGGATCAATTGTTTTAAGCAGCCTAAAAAATTATGATAAAATCAGTATCGCAGATATAGCCTTTATTTAGAATATTTTGCTGCTTCACCGTGCTGGACAAGTGCTTCATTTCAAAAGTTTAAACATGGTGAGGTTATGGGAATAACCAAATCTGCCATACTAATATTAGCCTTACAAACTGGCATTGAGATTATATTGAGTTACTGGGATAGCACAAGAAATGTTGCATCATTATAAAGTTTGTTTCAAAAGCAGATGTATTGGTCAAACATCGATATCATCCAACATTGGCCCTGAGACAGATATCATCCTTCATATAATGTGGCGAGCAGCGATGTCAGTAGCCGATGCGTATCTGCTGTGTCACATGAAGTTAAACTGGCAAGCTGCTGATCCAAAGAAGAGTTTTTTATTGGACAAAAGAAGTCACCTGTTGGTGTTGGCAGAGCAGGAGTCTCTGAGAGAGGTCAGGGATATGGAGTTTGTAAAACATGTTCCAGAGACATTTCAAGAGGAGGGTCTTCTTAATAACACTTTAAACACATCAAATCTCACAGCTCATTTTTAAAAACAGACATGAACACTTACAAAGAAGTGTTGAGAAAAGAAACATCAGTATCGCAATCTGCTAACCTGATGTAAACATCGATGTCATTATCCGCCATGATTCTACCAGTTGGTGCATCTCTTTTGGAAAGAGTTTTTGTTTCTTCTCATCTTGCAAAGAAGATGATTCTGTTTTTGCTTTTTACAAACCTGCCTCATCATGAAGTTATTCTAGCATCCGTTTAACCTAGCTATTGCAATTTAATCACAGCAAACCACTGCAGTAAGGCAGATTGCAGCCAACATGTGAAATCATAGTTACGGGGAAGTTGCCACCAACTGCAAAGAGATGGACAGACGCTCTGCAGCTGAAATAGAAAGCCAGAAAGTGGATCAGTTAGAGAAATCCTGACCGAGTTAACAAGTTCAAACTGGAGATTGATCAGCGCCAGGTTGCTGGTATCCATACTAAAGTTTTTACAGAGTTTCAAGAGAAGGAGGTGAAATCTACTTTGGCGTGTTTTCCTCCAGTTGATGTTATGAACTCAGACATGATGCACCAGTAGTTGGTTTTCTGAAATACTGTGAAGGAAGAATATTCCCCTGGTTACATGTTACCTTAAGAAGGATCAAATGATGATTCAATCAAACCAAATCAAAAGAAATTCATCAGCAGATTAATGATGTTATTTAAATGTCGTCTCTTTTTCCAGAGGGGGAAGAAGTGTCAGAAAACAGTCCGCCCCCAGGAGCCAGTCAGGATCACCTTTGCTGGATGTTGGACGTCACAGAGGTACCGCCCTCGTACCTGTGGGACTTGCACAGACGGCCGCTGCTGCACACCCTCCGTCACCCGCACTGTGAGGCTCCGCTTCCACTGCTCTGACGGAGAGGGCTTCTACAGAAACGCCATGTGGATCCAGCGCTGCAGCTGCAGTACAAGCTGTCACTCACACAGCGGGTCCTCCATCCCGTCGGTCAGTCTCCACAACGACATCCACACCTTCAGGCACTGAGGAGGAGGACTCATCAGACCCAGCCCGGGGCCTTACACAATGACTCTGCACCTTCCCCCTCACCCAAACACACCCCCCCCCACCACCTGTCTGTCAGCTGGGCGAGCTCCTGCCTCCCCCTCCCACGACCAGCCAGGCAATATGTTCGCTTGCACTTTAACATTTCCTGCCACGATGATGTCACAGTTTGTCGACACTAAAGGTGTGTGACTTCTCTTGTACCAAGGAGCACTGAGGAGCACACACTGTTAGCAGAAAGCTTTAATCGAAACGTCTTTAATTTATTTTTATAACTTTGTGTCCTCCCCACAGAGATCGAACAGAGAGAAGGTTGTTTTAGACGAGAAAAAAAGACAACATCTATAAGAAGTGATGGGAACAATGGCGATGCTAAATCAATGATGAAGAACTAAAAGACAAATTATTTAGTAATAAGTGTGGTTGTTTTTCTTTAACACCAGTCATTTGTGATAAAATGTTTTCTTCATGTATTGATTTGTGTGAGTGTGTGTGTGTGTGTGTGTGTGTGTGTGTGTGTGTGTGTGTGTGTGTGTGTGTGTGTGTGTGTGTGTGTGTGTGTGTGTGTGTGTGTGTGTGTGTGTGTGTGTTTGAAGACAACCTTTCCTCAGAGAGAGTTCAGTAAGCTACATCGATTGCAGTATAAAGTGTATATAGACTTCACTCTTAGCTGTGGAGTGGTAAATTCTAGGATCACCTCATTTTTCGGGGTGTGATTTATACTATAATATGTGTTGGTGTTCTTGACAGTGTACATACGATGCTTTATTTCTAGGGATGAAACGATGCTTTATATTTGAAAAGAACTGTTACATGTGTTCAGTGGATGTTTAACCTGTAAACTCCAGTACATCAAATAAAAATGTATCAACCTTTAAAGTCTTATTTTTCTAGCTTATGTCCCTCTACAAAAAGCATTATTATAGAAGAAAACAAAGTACCCACAAATACAAGTTTTTTATCTTCAGTATTGTTGTGGTTAAATTATTTCTACCATTCATTCAGCATACGTTTTTATCTAAAGCGACGTACATATGAGAGTAAGTACAACACAAGCGAGGATCTAGAAAGAAGGAAACAACGTCAGTAGATTCAAACGAGTTTAGGTCCAATCAGACACACAGGTGCTGACAGGCAATGCACAGAGGTAAAGCACAACATCCACAGCTGATCTTCAGAGTTCTAATCAGCATCACACCCTTCCTAAAATTGTCATCATCAAACAAAACCACCGGCATCATTATAATCAGTAAGTGCATTTATGAATGAGCTGGGTCATTTGTTTGGAAAATTATTCAGACATTTCCAATCCTACGAGCTAATCCATGATATGAGATTTTCTCTTTCTTTTTTTTTTTCAGAAACCAGTTTCTCTACCTTAAAGGTTTTCTCCACTTTTAATAATTTAATCCGATTTCATTGTGTACATCCCAGGAAACTAGGAAACAATTTCATAAAAATGCCTCCTCTATTACCAATTCATGTTTAACTAGCACTTAAAATGGCCTAGTTTCCTGGGATGTACACAATAAATTATGATTACCATCCTAAACCAGTCAGAACTACTTGATACTGAACTGAAGTTATCGGTAATAGTGGAGGTTTTTCTTTGTAATTCAGCTATAGTTTCCCTGTAATTACCTCCTTATTTCCAGTGGTATTACACCATAATGCCTGTCAATCACCGGATAATGACCTGGTAATTAGGGTACTATAAAAGCAAGGGTTACCTAGCTTTTAGGTAGGTATCCTACTCTTTTTGATTCAATATAAAAACACAATGCACCTATAGTCTGCATATAACACCATTTGGATAAATTGTGATTTCAAATACCTAAACCTGGAGCCTAACAGCAAACCAGTTCTTCTGCATGACTGTAAGGTGTGGTGTATGAACAAAACATACCTCTGAGCTACTAACACTCACTGCATCAGTGTGAGTTAATCACCTGCTGAGTCACAAATGTGTTAATAAAAGAAGAAGTTTGTTTTGATATGTTAAATACATGATAGACCATGTGTTTTTTTCACATTTTAATATTTCTGGTGGTTTTCGCAGCCAGCTTGTTTTACCTAACCCTCCATCTTTTTCCACATCTTTGCTTAACAGTGAAGCCGTTTAACCCTGAACACTGAGCTCCTCAGTGCTCATCTTCAGTCAAAGCTCTCTGCTCGTGTTGTCTCGTTGACTTACACAATGCTCCGGCTGGCTCTGGAGCACAAACATTACGCTGGACTTCTAAATTCCTCACTCTGGCCTCTGCCTTCCTCTGAGAGGACGGAGGAACGTTCTGACCCCCTGACTGCCTCAGTCGGTGTGGGCTTTATCTCTCACAAATCACCAGTCTCAGATTACAACAAGAGCAGAGATATTCAGTGAGGCGTTGTGAGAGAATCCAAACTGAGTAGCACCTCAAACGGACTGCGGTGAAAACATTCTGAGACCGGCTGGGAAGCAAATGTGGAACAGTTCATAACTAAATGGACACATAGTTTCTCAGAAGTTGTGCATAAATAAAAACTTGAATAAAAAAAGGGGACTATTGGGGGGCGCCAGTGGCCTAATGGGTGGCACAGGGTTGAATCCAACCTGTGGCTATTTTCCCGCATGTCATTCCCCACTCTCTCTCTCTGACTCTATCCACCATCCTATCTCTAAAAATAAAGGTTTAAAAAGCCTCAAAATAAACCTTTAAAAGAAAAAAAGTTGACTATTAAAGTTGATGAATACCACATTTATTAGGTGGACACAATCATGACTTTATTTAAGTATTTTGACGATTGGTTTACTGGATCCAGAAGTGACCATGTTTGGACTAGAGTTGATCTGGGGTTAGCTAAGGGAACATGTTTAACAAAGTTTAACAGCCACTTGATACCAGAGGTTCACAAATAAACTTGCTTATTACTGTTTAACAATATTTCACACATGACATTCTCTTATGGTGGTAGCTGACAAAAGTTACAAAAAGAGGCATCAAGCCTTAATATGATTTAAACAGGTGGATGACTGTAAGGCTGCGAAGTAGTGGGATGCAATTGAGACCCCGGGTGTCTTTAAAGTCATCCCCAGAGGGATAACCACAAACATGGCAAGCGATTAAATAGGAGGGGGAAAAAAAAACAAAATAGTTACAAGCCAAAAAATAGGCTCCCCTTTTCTCAATTGCCGTGAGATAAGGAGAAACAAAACCACCGCTGCCGAGCAGCTGATGAGAAACTCAGCTATATTTAAAGCAAAGAACTACAAAACTCTCTACAGGCCCATGTTTAAACAGAAACAAATAGGCTAGGTCAGAAATTCCCAGCCCAGAAAAAATACACCTGTTGAGCTACTTGAAACAGTATATAAATCAAGTGGTACTTGCAGAATCACACACTTCAAAAACAAACAAAAAACAGAGTGCTACAACTCAAGGGAATATATAGGCTTAACACACCTGGGCCAAATCAGGGCCAATCAGTCACACATACACCTGACACTGCATTGTGTTACCTCCCCACACTCAGAGGGTGCTTCTGAATTGCAAAGTGCCAATCTGACAGAAGACAGTCCCCGACTGAAAAGTCTGCACTCCATAAAAGCCACAGTTCAGTATGACCAGTGTGAGCTCCATCACAGGTGATAGTGACTTTGGGTGGCTGTAGCTCAGTCTGTAGAGACTTGGGTTGGGAACCACATTTGGAAAGTGGTTTTGATTGCTGGAGCGGTGACAGTTCACTTCACTAGTACTGCACAGATTCCCTTGAGCAAGGCACAGGAGCCCTAGCTGCTCAGCCCTTCACTCTGACATCTCTCCATTAGTGCATGGCCATAGGATCCTGTATCTGCATGTGTGAGTATTCCTGTTCTATGTGTTTGTAGTATGTCCAATGACAGAGTGAAAAAAATTGACTGCCTTTAGTTGTACCAGATAGAAAACTATAGATACCAAAGCAGCTTGTTGTAAACACTGTAAAAATGTTTTTTTTCTGATGGTTAATGACTCACTTTTTGAGACAGCAAATCAAGGGGTGTCCAACTGCCTTAAAACCAGCTACCTTATCTGGTCCAAAAAAATCCAGACCATTCAGGACCAGAATCTAAACCTAGAGGGAGGAAAAACTGGCTGCTGCATTGTCAAAGAAGCCAGCACTTCAACATAGCATGTTTCCTTAATGTCTGATGATACAGTAAGGTCATTTTATGATTTAATTAAATATATACCTTACATATTGCTCCTTTAATAGGTGTTCTTTGGGCTGGTTACAGTATTGGTAAGTCATCTCAAATTTAACTCAAACGGTTTTTAGTTTTCCTCTGTGTCCTCTTTGAGCAGGGTGAGTTCTTTCACCATCCAACCGACAGGCAGGAAACAAAAACAACACACGGCATACCAGCTCACCATGGAGACATCTTCACCATCTGCTGTCGTCACAGAGGGCGCCACTGGTTCCCATTAGACCCAGACTGTTCAACATCATCACCTTTGATGACGATGTTTGTCTTCTTGGGCTGTTTGGTTGGTGTAAATTCGGGGAAATGATCACACCAGCGGAGTTGTTGTACACAAAAGCTGGTGTCCCATGACAACTTTTGACTGCTCATTTGTTTAAGAGTCATCCAGGAATTTTGGCTAAGTACATGGCATTGTAAGAATCACACATTCACATATATTAGGACCATTTCTCAATGGCTAATTTCTCATTCTATCTAATAGTAAACAGAGTGCATCTTCATTTTCATAAAGACTCAGTCAGTCAGAAAAGAGCTGGAAGAATTGGCAGCTGCTGATTCTGGATTCAAGCTGAATTTAATGCCTGTCTGTAATTTATAACCTCAATAAAAGGCTCAGTTTAGTATTTTTTTGCCAGGGCTGATGTGCTCTAAGAAGAAGGAATCCCTAGCTGCTGATAGAAATAAATGAATTCAAGTAGAACTTCTTTCCAAAACTAAAAAGGAAAACTCTTCGACCTGCATGCAGAAAAAACTAAAACATTGCCTTTAAAATAAAGTTACTTCATTTCAATAGGTGTTACATTGCATGTTAGATATTAAAATATGGCTTACTATTAGGCATGAGCAAAACAGAAATTAAAATTGTATGCAATCGAAGCAGCTTTAAGGTCACTCTATTGACTGGTTCCCGAATTGAGGTCCTGGCCCTCCCAAGGGGGCGCACAAGATCTCAGGAGGGGGTTTACAAGGCTGTATCTGCTCTGACGTTGACAAAAATGAAACTTAAAAACTAAAATCCTGATAATGCACTAACTGGATAGTTGATACAAACTTTGGAACTATTCTGTAGAGATTTTATAAATTAAAACTTTTAAGATGAATGACCATATCATTTTCATTTTTTTTTCTGATTGGGTCTTTGGTGTCCCAGTTTTCTAATACAATTACGAGTATATAAAAAAAGGTCAAGAACCCCTGCTCTAAATAGTATTTTAGAGCACATTATATTTTGGGGATGTTGAGCTTTAACTTCTCTTATAATCAGAGGCGCGGCATGTCAACAGGCATGGCAGCCAACCGCTTGGGGGCTTCAGACCAGTAGGGGGCCCCTGAGGGCTGACAAACCATAGCAGTGGCCCAAAATGAGCAAATTTTGCAATGACAGTCGGAAACCTCTCTAAGGGGGCCCCATCTAACAGCACTCACTCTTGTTGCACTGATAAGAGTTGCATGCACTATTGCCGTAAAAACCAAAGTTTGTCAATGAAAGTCACCATATGAAAAGGAATCGTCCGTCTATAAGAGAGAAAAAAGAAACAGGAAAGACAAGGAGTAAGTGTCGGGACACCGGCAGACATGATTTTGAAGAACGCTGGTTGGGCCCCCAATTGATTTTCGCCAAGGGCCCCAACAGAGTCTAGAATCGCCACTGCTTAT